GCCTTTTTGGACGAGAACAAAAGGGGCCCCCAAACGCTGTGCCAGACATGTGAGTTTGGAAGGATTAAAATACTGGCTGACAGGCCTCCCTGGCAAGAGAGGGGTAGCCTTGAACAGGATGCACCTTGTTCTGTCTCTCTCTGTGTGTTTCTTTTTAACGAGCAATGACGACAAAAAAAAAGAACTCGCCTTGCTCACTGGAAGTCGAGTCGTGCTTCTTGTAAATGACCTAATTGGTAACAGGATTACTAAAACGGCGGTTTTTTGAACCACTGGAGGAAACTGGGGTTTCTTACACCGAGGGATGTGAAACAGAAGATTTCGGTGCCAGGGGTGTGTGTGTGTGTGGGGGGGATCTGTTCAGGACTTACATGGAAACCAGCCTCCACCCACCCGTCTGCTCAACCAACCACCCACCCACGTGCCCCCCTGGCCTTCCCTCCCATTCTCGGGTCAGGTCTTCGGGACTAACTTTTCTGAAACTTTCTGGCTGTCGGGGAAGTCGGCCCAGGACAGGGGTTCAGCCCCTGGGTTCAGCCTCAGGAAGGTGGGCTTGCCTTCTTGAGCTCATGGCTGCCCCCTCGGTCACCGATTTGACTAGGTTCCACAGTTGCACCCTCTTTTCTGTCATGTTTTTAACATCATCTTTCCGCATGAGCTGAGCTTTTTACCCTTTTCTGTTTAGTCTGAGCGATGGCTGTTTGAAAAGTCACATCACCATGTATTTATTTGTCTCCTCCTTTCCCATTAAGAGCAGGAAATGTTGGGGGCATGCTATGCGATGAAGATGATGATTTGTTAGTCGTTGGCGCCATTAACCATTCTAGGCAGGAGTCCCACCGATGAAGCTTTCCTCATCGCGGTGCCTCCGTGTCAGGAGAAGCTTTCCTAGTTAAGTTCCTGACTTCTGCCCAGTTGGAATAAGTCCCCGAATCCCTATTCGTGGGGAAATGACCACACATGAAACGAGACCCACACAGGCTGCCCCACCCAAGGCAAGATCAGGGTCAAGATTCCCAAGATGAGTCTCAGCATCAAGAGACACAGGACTAGCCTGGATTTTTAAAAATCACCCTGTTATTCTATGACTGCCATGAATAATTTTGCATTTGCTACCCATCAATCACCCCGTGACGGGAAGCATTTCCTAATCACAGGAGTCTGTCATCATCTCCTCCTCGTACAGAGCGGATCTGCTTCCTTCTCTACTGTAAGAAAAATGACTCAGGCTCAGATAGCAATGAAAGCTAACCTCAGCTGTAGATGTGGCTCCCCAGAGCGGTTCTGGATGGGAAAGAGGAAAGAAAGAGGGAGGAGAGGACAGGAGAAGAAGGGGGCCTAAATAGGGAAAGCGCCCAGCCTTTCCCAACTGGTCCTGAATTTTCTGGCCCGGAGAGCGGGATCTGTGCCAGTTCAGGCTGTTGACACCAGCGCCCGGCTGGTAGTGGCGAGGGTGAGGACGCTGTGGGTTTTGATCCGAACTTGAGGAGGCTGATCTGTTTTCATGAATGGGTTCAATACCTTGGAGAGCTCCGGATGTGGGATGGTTTTCCTGCGACACACACACACACACGATGCTGGAGTCCCTGGGACTTGATGACCCTGTTCCAGAGCTGGGAAAACATTTTGTCACAGAAGCCCTGGCTGGGCACAGGTTCATGGGGTTTGTAGTCCAAAAACCTGGCTGGGGATTCTAGGAAGCACCAGTTCCCTTTCTTTCATTAAACCCTCCCTTTCAAAACTGCCATTACCAGGATATTGAGGAACCTCTCTTGACTGTTTGCTTGAAAAAATGTCGTGGCCGGTGGCCATAAGGAGCCGGACGGTTGCCCTTTGCCAGAGCAAAGCTTGTCAGAGTAAGAAGGAAGGTGGACCAAAAGAGAGAGAGAGAGAGAAGCAAGGAAGGAAGTTGTGTACACTAATGAGATAAACATTCACGACTAAGCAGAGGCACCAGAGTTAAAATAGGAAGCGCGGACTTATTATGGGGAACAATTAAATCTCCGTTGACGCCTGGCGTGCCAAACGACACAAACATGATAGTGTCGTTTCACAAAAATGGGGGGGGGGTTGTTTTTACCAAGTAAGAATGGAGCAAGTTGTAATTCTTCAGGTATTCAGTTTTTTAAAAGTGGTGGAGGAAAGGATTGTCCCCTGTTGCCATGGTGAAAAAGCCATTTCATTTCCCCTAGTGCCTATATGACCTCTATGGCAGTGGTCAGCCCTTGGAAAAGTGATGTTCTTGGAATGTGAGCTGGGGTTCAAAGGGTCACCTTGCCCCACCTCTCCATCGGATGCAGCCAAATGGAATTGGACTCAACCAAAGTAGGGCGTCCGATGATCCGGCAGGGTCCTCGGAGACACTGTGGCATTAGAAGACCTCTCCGAGGGACAATCCCAGAAAGGGTCGATCTGACATTCTGAAAGGAGCTGGACAGCCCATTTTTTTAAAATCCCAAGGTGGTTCCATCTGGAGGCCTCTGGCTGGTCAACGTGTTCAGAAGAGATGTCGGACCGTGATTACGGCTGCCGGCCTAAAATGTCAGCTGGTCAATTGCCTGGCTTTTAATTGACTAAATAAATGGATTTCATTGCAGCTGTTGGTCTGGGACAAAACCAGAGCAGGTTTTCCGTGGTTGGCGACCTGTGTAGACGGCCCAGCAAGCAGCCATCATCTCAAGAACATGGCCTTCTACCCAACCATGCCCTGGGGCTGCCCAGTTTGGGATTGTTGCCAGCCGCTACAGCTCCCCAGAGTTTCAGATGGAGGTCTTTCCCGGCCCCAACCTGGAGAGACAGTGGCCGCCTGTCCTCTTTTAAGGTAGACCGTTCTCCATTTGAATAACCGCTTGAGGACATGGCCCATCTCTTGAAGGTCTCCTCCTGTGACCGGGGGGGGGGACATTTCTGAAAGATATCTGTTGGTGTTGTGTCCTTTTTCGACAAGAGTGCTGGAACCCAAGAAGAGTCCCATGGGCCGAAAGAGGTGGAGAATGGCGGCCCTAGGCGCTCTCCTCTCCCTGCTCTGACCCACACTGTCCTTCCTTCACCTTCTGATTGTTGACTCCGCTTCCACACCTTCCCTTGTCCCTCCCTGGAGGAAGCATTTTGGCTTTGCCCTCTCAAGGGGCACCCCAGGGCTTCTGACGTCTCCCTCTTAAGTTTGTTAGAAGGAGATCTTCGCTTGCCCTTCCTGTCTCAAGGGCGTCTGGCCGCCAAACACCAGCAGCGCTGATCTTATTAGAAAGAAGTGCGGACGTGGTTCTTTCATCACAGAGGAAGGGCGATTGTGCACTTTCGGAACATTGCTCCAGCACCACAACTTGGCCTGGCCTGAAACGGGGTGGGAGGGCTCAGAGCCACTTGCCCCCTCTGCCCGCCGGTAGGGCCTCCGGACACCTATCTCTGCCCCCAGTGAAATAAATGTTCTAGGAAAAAAAAACCAAAACCCAGAGAGAGAACCTCAGTAGGGTTTTAAACCGGGATAGCCTGCATCTGTGTTATTTTTGCTAATCTGTTCTAGCAATGTTTTTGTTCTGATGTTTCAAATGTAATATGTATTTATTTTTCACATCTGTATCACTTACAAATACTGTCTTTTTCAATGACATCAGGTTCTCCAGATCCTTTTTTTTTAAAGGAGAAAGGTGGGGTAAAATATTTCGCATAAATAAAACTGTTTTTTTTTGGGGGGGGAGGATGGTTGTGTAGCCCGCAACAGGGGGGGGAAGCTGGCCCGCAGAGCAACCCGCTGGATCCCTGATCTAAATGTGTGATCGGCTTCAATGCTGCTCGGTCGGCTGGCCTGGCATGTTCCCATCGAACATGGCAGGTGAGCTTTCCCAGAGCCAGGATGGAGAGGGACCTTCAACTATCATCCACCATCCTCTCCTTGGCAGGCACACATCGTTCATTCCTAGGAATTGGGTTATACAACCGAAGAACTGGAGGGTGGTGTGTGTTTTTTTAAAGTTATTGACCTTTAAACCAACTGGGAGGAAAATGTTTCTGCAGCATAAACACTAGCCGCTACCCCTGATCAGAACTGCTCACTGGCTGGTAGGGAACCGTTTCAACCCACATCTGGCCACCTCTGGAAAAGCACCAAGCCTCACGAACCAGAGGCGGACGGCATCGCAAACGGCTGGAAGCACCAGCCAAGGATGTCGAAACCGGAGGGGGGTTTAAAAACCGCTGACCCTCCTCTAGGCAAGAGAGCTGCCCAATTTCTCAGGAAATCCATCAAAGGTTTCCCCAGAAAGTTAAGCGTCAGCAAACAAAGAACAAATATGCAAAAGCGTGTGAGGGAAAAAAACAGTGGATTAAACAGTGGCTTCCTTTTTCTTGGGAAGAAAGGTGGCCTTGTCTTTTTTTTTAACAATAGCTTCCAACTTATAAACAGCTGGCTTATTAGCCCTGGCCATCACTGCTTCAGGCGGTCCTAGAGGGAAGCAAACCTCCCCCAGACTTCTTCAGAGACCTTAGCAACCCCTACTAGTCCCTTTCTAAATTTCACCTTGCTTCAACCGTTTATGCCTTTTTTTCTACACCTGGCTTAGACTCTTCTCCACCTCAGCAGCATCAATCTGTTTACCTGTGGCCCACAGGTGGCCTTGGAGTGACTCTCAACAGCCACCCGTCATGGGCATTGAACCGGCTGCACACCAATTGCTAGCAGGGAATGAACAAACTATGCAAGCTTCCATGTTCCACAGGCCTCTTGATAAGGAGTCTTATCCAGCTCAAAAGCTTGCCTATTTCGTACTCCTGTGGTGAACAGTGGAACAGAGCCCCTATCCATGGAGGCTTCTAACCCTCTCTCAGGGATCTCCTCCCGTAGCAGAGGGTCAGACTAGATGATCCTCGGGTTTCTGTCCAACTCTACAGTTCTGTGACTCTATGAAAACACACCACTGAGACTTAGACAAGGGAGGGCAAATCCATCAGGCCAATTCTCATCCAGAAATAAATCCCTACGATTAAAGACCAAACAAAGTATGTTAGGTTGCTTCATTTTTGTAAAAAACCTTTTTTAAGGTTTATTAACAGATCATATTTTTAAAAAATAGATCTCATATAAGAAAAACATTTCTGCTCAGCAGAAAAATGACCACAAAGGCCTCCCAGAAAGGCTCCAACTTGTACAAACAAGTTACTTTTCTCATTCTTGTAAACATCAGAAATCAAGTGTTCAAATACAGTAGAACTGCTACAAAAATAGATGCGTCGGTGGTCCGCTCGCCCTTCTGAACATCCCGATACCAAATCGCTTCGTGCGTCCAGCTTCTCCGAACAGTCTCGCGCGCCCGGCACAAGAGTGCCACGGAACACGTGGGGCCATGCCACCGTTTCCAGTACCACGGTGGCGGCAGCAGCAGTGCCCCCTTCCAGCCAGCCCTGGCCATGCACCACCGGCTTCCCCCCACTTGGTCAGTAGGTTTCCTGCCCATTTTCAGACTCTGCCGGCTGCCCCAACCTCTCCCGTTGCTCCAGTGGCGCCGGGGGGGGGGATTTAATCCAAAACCCTCAGAACTTGAAAGGAAACGACTCCAGATAATCCTTTAAAACCGGGTTGAGCGGGATGTGGCTTAAGTTTTCCCTCCCAGCCGTCGCCACAATCGTTCTGCGGCAGAGCTCCTGCAAGGAACGCAAGCGTCTCTTGGGCAGCGGGCTGACCAGCACTTTCTGGGGGGTGCCGGCATAATGTTCCAGCAGTTTGAAAAGGCAATCAAAGGTCTCGTGGCTGCCGTCCAGGTGAAAACGGCCCGCCTGGAAAATGATCCGGATGCTGGTGGGGCCCGTGGCCGTCTTAACGCTGACGGTGAAGAAGCAGTTCTTCTGCCGGCTGTCCCGCAAAAGGAAGGTCCCCACGGGCTCCCCTTTGAGCTTCTCGTGGGCCATGTTGACCGACAGGGGTCCCCAATAAAAACCGCACTCCTCCAGCAAGGCGCTGGCGCGGATGATGGCGTTGAAGTCCTCTTGAGAGCGGAAGGTGTGGAAGTGGGTGTCCCGGGGAGCTTGGCCACAGCCGGGAGGGCCATGGCGGTGGGAGGGCTGGGCCTGCCGAGGGGCCCGGGCGGCGGCGGCGGAGGGGGGCTCCCGTCGAAATCTCAGCTCTGTTGCGATCCCATTCTCAGGTGTCAAGCTGCTATGTGCTACCATCCTATAGACAAGACCCGCCGGTGTGAGCGCCCATCGCTTCCTGGGCCAGCCACCCGCCGTGCACCTGGGTCTTTCCTGCAACTGAAAGAGAAAGCAGAAGTTACTTTACGCTGCCCAGAGTGAGACCAAACGCGAGGTTCTGCAAAGGGAAGGTCGCCAGAAAGGGAACCCTCTCTTCTGTCAGACTGCCTCTAGTTCCTTCTTTGGCAAGCAAAGAAAAAAAAAGAAGATTTAAGGAAGCAATAGATGAATGAGCACTGATTATGCATGCCTGCGAGGCGCTTCCCCTCCCGTAGCCACAAAGTGCATCAGCAGCCCATTGATGTCAATTGCCGATTCAGAAAGCTTGGCTTGTCCTCCATCGATTAAACCCAATCACTACATGGTTTACAGGGTAAGGAAATTCCTCCCCAGGCTGCTCTCCCAACTGCTCCACCCCACTGAGCCCTGAAGGCAAGAAGCTCTATTTGCTGACGCTGGCCCCACAGAAGAAACCACTAGGGCTCCTAATTTCTTGCTTTGAACTTGAAAGGATGTTTTTATGGCATTCCTCCTATGAAAAGTCATTCGGTCATTAGATGCAGAGCTGTGGAGAAAGAGGGGGGACTGGCTGACACAGACCCGTTCGGGTGGCGCTTGTCCACTCACCACCACCCCCTGCTTGCCCTCGGGGAGCCTGGTAAGCTTCTTTGTTTTGCAAGGGGCTCACCCTGCTCAGAACCAGGATAGACAAGGCTGTAGCGACCTGGGTTCAGAAATCTCCCACAGCAGATACGGAGGGACAGAAGAAGTAACACTCTTTATGCGCTGGGGAGACAGGAGGAAGGGATTACAAGGAGCCAGCTCTGCAACCTTGCCAAGTTACAGAATAAAATCCCAGGTCTCCTTCTGGAGACGTTGCCCCTCCTCTTCCACAGCCCCCACCTCGGGGGGGGGATTTTAAGACTATAATCTTACAGGCCTGAACACAAATCAAGCTCGCTGGACCTGCAAAGCGTTGTTCCAAAGCTCGCTCTCAAACCGCCCTCTCTAAAGTGGTGCAGTTTTATTGCTGCTTCCTTTTTATTGACAGATCTCCCCACCCTCCACCCCGCCAAGGAACCAGGAATCAAGCCATGTGAAGCTAGGGAGAAGACAGAGGCGAGCCAGCCGTGCTCCAGCCTACGTTTGGCCAAGCCTGCTTCTGCAGACCTTACCGGCAAGCATCGCTTTTTTTACGATTTATCCCCTGTTGCAGTCACTGTATTGATTCCTGTCGGTCGTTTTCTGAGAACTCAAGGCAGCTTCTCAGAAACGGAGCGCTCTCTGGGTGCCCTGAGCTATTTTTCCTGTCGGCAGCGGTTCCTGCACAAGGCAGAAACCTAGTTTGCCGTTTTTTTTTTCAGGCAGGAAAAAAAAATGCAGCGGGGGAGGGAGTTTCAAAACCCACAAAGCCTTATTATTATTACTATCCAAAAATACTAAACACACTTCATCAGAATTATAAAACGCATTGGCCGGTATGATATAACACAGACAAGTTCTAACCTAAAGCCTAAGAATCTGTTAAATATCGGTGCACTATGCATGCTGTTCCCAAAACTGTCAATTTTTGCAGTTCTGATGCTGATATTTCTGAGATCTGCAACTGCTTATAACATTGTGTGAAATGTCTTGATAGTGTTCTCAAAGCCCCAATGACTCCGGGGACCACTGAAGTGTGTTTCATCCCCCAGAGAGATATTTTGATGGCCAGGCCTCTGTGTTTTATTCATTATTATTATTATTATTATTATTATTATTATTATTATTATTATTATTATTATTATTATTATTATTATTATTATTATTATTATTATTATTTGAATGGCTATGTTAATTGTCAGCAGCAATTGAACTGCTGGGGATCGACGGCATGGAAGATTACAGAACAGCCTGGATGAGGGCATGATCCCAGCCCTAAGAAAATGCAAGAGAAAAAGGAGAGCTACCAGAAAGGATGCATTCTTGCCAGCTGCCTGAGTCCACAACTGAGAATGATCGCCTTCTCCCCACCTCCAAGGGGGTCCAGCTGCCATCCACACCGCTGAGCCCCTAAAAAGCCATCCCACAGTCCTGGCTGGTTTCCTAGCACGAAGCGGCACAGATCCGTGGCCTTGGAGGAAAGAAATTGCTCGCTCTGGAATGGAAGCAGAGGGCTTGGCCGCAGGATGTGCCTCCACTTACCTAAGTCTTCCAGACTTTTCCCCGCTGGCTGAAGAAGCCTCCTGTGGAACTCCCAAGCTTGCTACTTTACCTTCCTTGTTCCCTCGGTTTACCAGCCAAGAGGCTGGTTCCAAGGAAAAGCCAGCCCTGGCTTCCACAGAAAGCCACCCCCACCCCATCCCCACATCTCCCATCTTCCACACCCACCGTGAAAATGCAAATACCCTTAACAAGCTCGTGGCCACATTTGAGAGCAGGTGGGGACGCTGGACCTCCAGAGCCTCTGGGGGTGGAGGGTTTGGGGGGGGGGAAGAGGAATGGCAAAAAAATTACAATTTTAAAAAAGGCACAAGATCCCAGCCAACAACCCGTCAAGGGCAAACTTTGGCACACCTCCAGAAATGTCACGTTTTGCGCTTCCCTTTCCAAACACAGCAAAACTACAAAAACGTGGACCTTTCCATTCTTTAAAAACAAAACAAAACAAAACCCACAATTCTAGACAAGAAAATCCGATTTAAAATTTGGGCAGGAACCAAATTATTTTAATTTAAAAAAAAAACACAACCACACACACAATAGACCATTTCTCCCCCCGCCCTT